ATCATGGCCACAGTGGGATGGTACATTCCAGCTATATGAAGACTATAGAAGGCAGGTTTTTAATTTTCTCTTTCTAAAACTATTTCATGCAAGAACAGTGAGCGTCCAGTCAGAGCTTAGCAACTGTGAGTATGCACAGCACGCCTTTCAAGCTTTGCAATATAAAGAGACACTCACTGTTACTAGAGCCGTGTGCAAGATGGAGAACATGCACGTGTGTAAGCCTCCTTATGAAATGAAAGTGCAACACACTGTATCATTGAGGAGAAGTGTGGTTAATAGGGAGAAAAGGGAAAAGCCACATTTAGTTAATTAGCTGTTTTAAAATACACGGCAATTATGCAAATGACGAAATATTTAGTTTTGTATTCAGGCATGTGAAATGTGATGAAAAGGAAATATGGCGATGAGACTAATCACTGAGACAAGAGAGGTCTTTAAATCAGTACACATCTTTAGCAATTAGCTTGTCGCTATCATTAAGCTATGATCGCTGATACGAAACCAGTCGGTATAAAAGCTCATTGTGAACGCTCGGTTGAATCGTTTATTTATGATTTATCTCTCATAATAAAGACAGACAGAGATCTTACTATGAGAGGAATAAAGAGGAGGGGATAGTGGGGAGAGGTCACCAAGATGTGTCAAACATCGATTTATGCTCTCCTTTGACGGGGGATTCATTCTCCATATCTGCACCTCACAGATGACACTTCCAGGTGTTTGTCTATAAAAAACGCCCCGACTCAGAATACAACCCAGACCGTCAAATGTCAGGAACATCTGATAGCCACAAACACGCTGACATTCAGCCGGAGCAGCGAGATGAAGACGATCTCAGACAACACGGCAGACAGAGACTTTTATTGAGTTGCGGGGGAGCGACAAACAGTCTCTCAAAGTTCATGCTTTGGTTCCAAAAACAGGGAAGAAACGTGTGAAGGAAGGCTCTATTTCTGATCGTTTAAAATGGTTTAAGTATTTTTATTTGTTTGCACACAACATATTTTGCCTCACCGAGTAGTTGAGCTACTGTATGTTAAGACGTGAGAATGCAAGCGCTCATGCATGCACTAATATAAATGAATATGCAGTTCATTTTGCAACACTGTTTTTGTTCATAATGGAGGTATGCAAGACAACCACATTTAAGGTTGAGTAACTGCTATACAAATGGTCAATTTGATGGTGAATGAATGTCTTGTTTTCTTTATCCACACATGTTCAAATGCAGAAGATGTGACATGTCATAGTGATGACTTTAAGCTGTTTAAAGGCACGTCCATGTAGACATTCATAATTATTCATATGAAACCGTTTTACCTACATTACATTCAATATTTTCTATTCTTATAACCTTGTGTGTATTATTTTAATTCCTGCTGTTGCTTTAGTAACTGAATTTCCTCACAAAGATCAATAAAGGTTAAGGCAAGGCAAGGCAAGGCAAGGCAAGGCAAGGCAAGGCAAGGCAAGGCAAGGCAAGGCAAGGCAAGGCAAGGCAAGGCAAGGCAAGGCAAGGCAAGGCAAGGCAAGGCAAGGCAAGGCAAGGCAAGGCAAGGCAAGGCAAGGCAAGGCAAGGCAAGGCAAGGCAAGGCAAGGCAAGGCAAGGCAAGGCAAGGCAAGGCAAGGCAAGGCAAGGCAAGGCAAGGCAAGGCAAGGCAAGGCAAGGCAAGGCAAGGCAAGGCAAGGCAAGGCAAGGCAAGGCAAGGCAAGGCAAGGCAAGGCAAGGCAAGGCAAGGCAAGGCAAGGCAAGGCAAGGCAAGGCAAGGCAAGGCAAGGCAAGGCAAGGCAAGGCAAGGCAAGGCAAGGCAAGGCAAGGCAAGGCAAGGCAAGAGATTATTTATATAGCACTTTCAACACAAGGCAATTCAAAGTGCTTTACAAAAAATGAAAGAGATTAAGAAAATGGCATTTAAAATCAGTCATTAAAAAGAAAAGCTAATAAAATAAACATTAAAAGAAAAAGTACATGGATCAAAGTTAAGCTTATCTTATCTTTCAAGAAGCTAGGTAATGAGTATAATTACTTTTGAGTATTTAGTAAAGTCATTATGTTTTAATAAGTAGTATGTGATGAGAAGTTGACAACACTTTTAAAGTAACTTCCCCCACAGTGTTCTATAACGCCTCTAGCAGGAGAAGCCCCATTGTGTGTGTGTGTGTGTGTGTGTGTGTGTGTGTGTGTGTGTGTGTGTGTGTGTGTGTGTGTGTGTGTGTGTGTGTGTGTGTGTGTGGAGCTCTAATCGAAACTAAGCAACCTGATGCAAATAGTAAATCTTTATCTGGTGACACACCACTCCTCTCTGTGTCCTTTGTCCTGCTCGTGGACATCAATACCCAACAACACGCTGCAGTAATTATCCTGCGCCGGCCTCTGAGAAAAGTTAACTGCTGTTCCCTGAGCTGTAGCTCCACTAAGAGAGGTGGATCGTGGGAGGAGGACAAATTGAAAAAATGTCACACAAACACACACATCTACGAGCACATATGCATGGTAGCCCACTGTGATGAGCACACATACACACACCAGCGCTCTCCAGATGGATGACAAGTGTGATAATGGTTGAAATGATGAAATGGATCATCGTCCTCTTTGTTTCGACAGTTATGACCTAAAACTCCTCCGAGAGGTGAATCATATTGAAGTCTGGAGATGAACCAATGTGGGAAAACAGGAGAAACACACACACATCAACAGGTCTTGTTTACACTCATGCAGTACA